CTGGGAATTAAGCAAACTAAACTTGAAAATGCACATGTGGGCTGATGAGAAGGCTCAGTGGCTCAGTGGATAAGGGTGCTAACTGCAAAGCCCAAAGACCTGAGTTTGATTCCTGGGACTCACACGCTGGAAAGAGAGACCCAAATCCTGAAAGTTTTCCTTTGACCTCCATACTTTTTATCTGCGGTCCATGTTCTGCCCCCCATATACACAATAAATAAACAAATATGTGTAGAAAAGAAAATGTATTTTCCATATGTAGGTTATTTCATAAGCCAGAACGAGTGGAGAAGATAGGAGGTACCTTTTGTATCCTAAGTGTAATCCCCAAAGGCCTAATGGATGGCTAAAGCAATAAGACAGAAGAAAACAGCTTTCTTTTTTAAAAAGTTGTCTAATTTCTGTTTTATGTATGAGTGTATTGTCTGCATGTATGTAAGTGCACCTATGTGGTGCAATGCCTGTGGAGGACAGAAAAGGGCATCAGATTTCCCTGGAACTGGAGTTACAGATGGTTGTTAGTCACCATGTGGGTGCTGGGAATTGAACCTGGGTCCTCTGCAGGTCAGTGCTCTTAACCAGTCATCTCTCCAGCCTGAAATCAGCTTTCTTAAGCTAAAGTACAATACTGACAATTCTTGTTTTAGATAGGGTCTCCCTGTAACCACAAATGGCCAAGAACTCAATATATAGACCAGGTTGGCTTTGATCCCATAGAGATCCACCTGCCTCTGCCTCCTGAGTACTGGGATTAAAGGCATGGGCCACCACACCCAGATCTTACCTACAATTCTTAAACGTTCTTTGTGTATGGTGGTTATGTGTGTTCCCATGTGTGTGTAGAGGCCAGAGGTTGACATTGGGTGTCTTCCTCAATAGTTGTCTACCTTATTTTTTTAAATATTTTATTTATTATTTTTATTTTATGTGTACACGTGTATTGCACCTGGTAAGTGCACCTGTGTTGTGCAATGCCTACAGAGGACAGAAGAGGCTGTTGGATCCCCTAGAACTGGAGTTATGGACAGCTGTTAGCTGCCATGTAGGTGCTGGGATTCAAACCTGGGTCTTCTGCAAGAACAGCCAGTGTTCTTAACCGCTGAGCCATCTCTCCAGCCCCATCTACCTTATTTTTCAATAAGAGGCATTCACTGAACCTGGAATTTACTTATTTGGCTAGACTAGATGGTCAGCAAGCCCCTGTCTACACCTCCCCAGCACTGGGGTTATAGGTGCAAAGCACTATATCCAGAGTTGCTTGCCTGGATGCTGGGGATCTGAACTCATGCTTGGGTGGCAAGAAACATCTCCACAGTTCCTTAAATAATTTTTCATTAGGGACCATTCACAGAAGTGAAGTAACTATCCTCTAATCAACATAGGTAAGGAACCTTCTCTTAAAGAGTATTTAGCCTTCAGGAATTCTATTTCATTCCTTCCTGGGTTATTTCTCCAGATTGTACAAAAGGAGACCAATAGCAACATCTTCCTTTTTCTGACAGGAAGATTATTGGGTGGATTTTGCTAGCTTTTTATTAAGACCAAACAAGAAAAAAAAAAAGTGACAAAGGAAAATGTTCTGAAAAGACTATTATCCAACGAGCACTAGCAGTTTGGATTTGGAGAATCATCTGCTGGGGTTGATGCTGGGAAAGAAATGAGGGAAGTCTTTGCAAAAGAACTTTGATTCTCTCTTCTCAGAAAACCATCAGCACACTTGCCCACATCATAAGGTTCTCTCTGCTATAACCAATCACTGGACAGCATCTTACATTGCTCTGACAATAGGATTAGGGCAACAGTGACAACCAGAAACCAATAGCCGTTCCCTGTTAATGGTCAAATGTCTTCTTTTTCCGTATTTTTAAAAGTTGAATGGGGGAGTTAATATTTATTTATTTAGTTGTTTGTTTGTTTATTTATTTATTTTAATGGGCCTGGAGAGAGATGGTTAAGAGCATTTGCTATTCTTGTAGAAGACTGGAGTTGGGTTCCCTGCACCCACATCACATGGCTCACAACCACCTATAACTCTAGCTCTGGAAGATCAAACACCCTCTTCTGGCCTCTACAGGTACCCACATGCACATAGGTATACACATACACAGAAACACACACACACACACACACATATAAGTTTAAAAACATTTTTAAACAATTTGTTACATATGGAAGTCAGAGGACAACTTGTGAGAACTGATTTCTTCCAGCATGTGGGTCCTGGGATTGAACTCAGACTATCAGGCTTGTTGGCAGACATCATCTTACCATCCCCTGGGAGGTAGCATTTATTTTTCTTTTTTTTAAATTTATTTTTATTTTATGTATATAAGTGTTTTGCCTTCATGTTGCTTAATTGCACTTGTGTCATGTAATACCCAGAAGAGGGTGTTAGATCCCCTTGGAACTGGAGTTATGAATGGTTGTTGGCTGCCCTGTGCTGGGAACCAAACCTGGGTCCCCAAGAGCAAGCAGTCCTCTTAAACCATGGAGTCATCTCTCTAGCCCCTGGGAGCTGGGAAATAGCTTTTTTTAGACCAGGCTGGCCTTGATCTCACAGGATTCGCCTCCCTGAGTGCTAAGATTAAAGGTGTGTGTCATTAGGCCTGGCTTGGGAGCTAGCATTTATTATTTTGTTTTATTTTATTTTACATGTATGAGCGTAATGTCTGCATCTGTATCAGTGCACCCATGTCATGCAGTGTCCACAGAGGTCAGAAGAGAATGTCAGATCCCCTGGAAATAGAGTAACAGATGGTTGCTAGCCACCACATGAGTGCTGGAAACTGAACCCAGGTCCTCTGCAAGAGTAACCAATGCCCTTAACCATGAGCCACCTCACCAGCCCTTAGTATTTCTTATGAATGACTGTATACTATCTTCTGCCAACGCTGCTGACAGGTGGAGCAAAGCAGGCCATGGTCTGATATAAAAACAACAGACCCAGCCTCAGCCTTAAGGAGTTAGGAACACAACTATCAGAAAATGCAGAAGAAACACTAAGAAAGACCCACACAACGAGAAATTGATACCCCAGACCTTACAAGCCGTTCACCAGGCTCTAGTCTCCAGGTGACTTTGCTTGACAAAGCTGCTGGGAATGAGGCTCTAAAAACAATCACAAACATCTAACGGCTGGTGTCGCTAGTCTTTCAATTTCCCCTGAGAGTAAGGCTTTGCATATGTTCACTCTGCTCACAGTCCCAAGCACAAAGCTCTTCTTTTGGAGAATGGAGGCTATTGTATTATCTATCTATCTATCTATCTATCTATCTATCTATCTATCTATCTATCTATCTATCCATTCATTCATTCATTCATTCATTTACTGTTTTTGTGTGTTTATGATGTGTGGGAGGGGCCATGCATGGGCCATGGCACAGGTCAGAGGACAAATCTGTGGAGTCGGTTTTCTCCTTCTGTCTTCAAGTGGGTTCTGAGGGTGGAACTTAGATCATTACATTTGTCCAAAAGGCACTTTTCCTTGCTGAGCCATCTCACCCGCTGTTTAGTTTTTAATTAATTGATTGATTAACTTTAGGTTTTTTAAACTTTAATTTTTAAAATTTTATAGGTAGAGTGTATTTCCCTGCATCTGTGTAAGTGCACCCATGTCACCCAGATCAGAAGAGCGTGTCGGATTCCCCTGGAACTGGAGTTATTGGATGGTTTTAGCTGCCATGTGGGTGCTGGGAATCGAACCTGGGTCCTCTGCAAGAGCAGCCGGTACACTTGACCACTGAGCCATCTCTCCGGTCCTTAACTTTTGGCTTTTTGAGACAGGGTGTAGCCCCAGCTGGCTTTGAAACTTTTGATTCTCCTGTCTCCACTTCCCAAGTGCGCCACCACCTCAGCCTGGTATATTTTTTAAAGTCCTTTAGACTAATCCATCCTCCTGCCTCTCCCAGTGAGCAACTTACCTTGCAACTCACACATCAGCTCCATGTCTTTTTTAGCCTGAAACTCCTTGCAGAGTTACAGGCCAAAATTCACATCCCTTATTCACTTCAAACCCACTAAGGCCCTTTGAAGAAGCAATGAGGTCTGTAGGCAGAAGGATCCTGCCTTTGTGTGAGCTATACCACTAAATCACCACCAGAGGATCTCAGGTGAAGCTTGGAGAGGAATGTCAATTGATCACCAAGGCTATCTTGTGACAGACCCGGGCCTACAACCTTACCAAATGGATATTGTGAGAGTTCCACAATTTTCAGGCCAAAATGATTTCAGTGGAAATAAAGAAGGACCACTAACAAATGGGGAGAGTTAACTTCAGCCAGGCTCAACATACTATCCTATGAGAACACACGCATCAAATTTTGAAAATACATACATAATATTCACCCATGACAGACAGCACAATTAGCAAAAGGAAGCCTACACCTTGGCTCCCTTCCAGTTGTTATTTAGAGGCAGAGTTAGGGGAGCTGAGCCATGACAGGCAGGCAGATGACAGGAGTCCTTGGAGCCTTCTAGGGCCTGATGGTGGTCAAGAGCTGCAGACTTGCAGGGGTTGTTCCCTGTGACTGAGCAGAGCAGTACCTTTGTGCAGCTTGAACCTAAGGCTACACACTTATGAGGGGATCTCAGCTCCTGGCCTGTTGGAGGCATGCAGGAGTCAAGCTTACTGTAAGAAGCTCAGACAGCACAAACCACATGGAAAAGCCAGTATTCAGGGGAGTGACATAATATATTGTAACTGCTCCATCCTGTCAATAGATACATTTTAATAGGTCTGTTAGAATTTCTCCCACTTGAAGTTGAAATAACTCCCATTCCTCATTGGTAGAATCACAATTCACTCCCAGCCAACTGCCAGACACAATGACAAGGGAGAGTGCCAGGCAGGCCAGGAGCTGACTTTTGTCTCCTCAGGCAATTCTTGCATTTGATCATATGTCTCCTCTTAAAGCAATGAGCAAGTTACAAATATAATTACTGAATTTCTGAACAAGCACTAACACAAGACATGGATGCGCTGAGAAAGGATAGAAGCTTACCTCTGGCTCTGGCTGTGAGGCCTGCTCCTCTTCTTCAGAGTTGGGTAGAATTGCCCACGTTATGTTCGCACTAGCCGAGGGCAAAGAGCCAAGCGTCCCATTTTTCAGTTGCTCTGTGGAATGTGATTTGGGTCCGTGCCATCCCAGGATGGTTTCTGAAATAAAGACTTAGAATGATGCCAGATATCCTCCAAATTAAACATTTAGAACCTGGGAAATATCTGTGCCTTATTGTCCGAGGAGACGCACGTGATGTGGCCCCGTCACACACAGTGGGGTCTGTAAGAGGCTATTCTCCTACACTATCAGAGTCATCACAGATTGGAACAAAATAATTCATATTTCTGTGCCTGTATATGCTTGTATGCATACATATGTTTGTGTGATACATGCAGGTGTCTGTGCATATCTGAATGTATCCACATGGGGGCCAGAGGTTGATGTGAGGTGTCTTCCTCAGTCTTTCTCCATCTTATTTTTTGAGACAAGATTTCTCATTGAACCTGGAGCTCATCAGTTCAGCTGGGCTGGCCGGCCAAAAGCTCCAAGAACGCACCCATAACCACTTCCCTAGAGCTAGCATTGCAAATACACCCAGCTTTTCACCTGGGTGTTGGATAGTAAACTCAAGTCCTCATGCTTGTTGTAGCAAGCAGTTTACCCACTGAGTCATCTTCCCAACCCTCAACAATCTGTGTTTTACCAACATGAGATAATGCTGTTTTCCTTAATGTTCAAAAATATTTAAAAATATTCACATTAAAAACCAAATCATATTATCAAATTTGGGCTGCTTAAAATGTGGTTTATTGTTTAATGATCAGGGTTCAGGAAAGATGCTTACAGTGAAGTCAAAAAGACTGCCACTGATGCCAGATGGGACCAGATGTGAAGCAGATGTCAAGAAGACCCATCATCATTGGCTGACATGCCTGGTGGAGTCTAGCAAGAAATACTTCTTAGAAACAACAGTCTTCTAAACTGACAGCATTTTTCTAATCTTTCTTCAACCCCTTGAAGAAGCAAAACATTTCTTACCCAATATTATTTTAAAATGTTACTTATTAATGTTTATTTTATATGTATAAATGTTTTGCCTATGTGTATGTAAGTGCACTGTGTGTGCAATTCTTGCAGAGGCCAGAGGAAGACACTAGATTCCCTGCATCCCAAGAAATTATAGATCGTTGTTAGCCACCACGTAGGTACTAGGAACTGAACCCAGGTCCTCTGCTAGAGCAGCCAGTGCTCCTAACCACAAAGCCATCTTTCCAACCCACCCCCATCAGTATTACTTTTTACAATATTATTATTACCATAATAATGGTAATAATACCTTTCTGGGCTTATTATAGAGATAGGAGTAACTAGAAGTGGACTTCTTTACCCTGTAGTAATCCTGCAAGGTGAAAAATAGGTCTCATTCTCAGCTCATTTCCAGTCTGGAAATCCTGTTCCCCATCTAAAAGCAGACAAATGATGGAGGAAGATAGATTGAAGTAGAGACTCACTGAAACTTCCCCAGTCTCAGATGTTCCATCTACAAAGTAATCTTGTCCATCAGCCTTCTTCCTGAATTTACTCAGAGAAAAATCTAGAAATGGCCCAAACCTTTAGTATCCCAAGAGAATCTGATTGATAGAAGTAAAAAAAAAAAAAAAAAAGTAGGCAGAGAGATGGCCGTGTGTGTGCGTGTGTGTGTGCATGTGTGCGTGTGTGTGTGCGCGCACGCACGCATGCTCCTGGGTGCAGATGTCATCCACCTCAAGTATCTTTGCATGCAAAAATCTCTCCTTCTCAATGCCAAGTGCTAGACCATATAACTGCTGCTTAAGCCTAAAGTGGCTTCTTGTTGCAACTGAAATAAAATGTAAAGCATTTGGCCTCTCTATGCTCAAGAGCCAGGGTTCCCTCCTCTCCTCCCCATGTGCTCCTTGGGCTCCAGTTATGGTAGTAATTCTTGTCCATTCTCTCATTATTTGTCTAAGAGCCTTTGCACATGCCATTCATACCTTCCCGGGTACTGCCCTGTAGACCTCCTATGGGGAGGTGGGTAAATTCAGGGGTTAGTAAACATCACTTGCTTGGAGAGGTCTTCTGGGATCTCCCTGGTCCAGGAGCACCTCAAAGGCATTTAGAGTCACACTAATGCTCACTGCCTCCACAGGACCTGGCACTAAACTCAACAGTGCATGCATGCTTCTTGTTTCCTTTTGCTTCCCTGGAATGTTAGCTCTTTAGAGGCAGATTACATGCTGTCCTAACTCACAGCTGTCACCAGAACCTACACTATGATTTGCCAGGGCAGGTGCTAGCTCTGTGTGTGAAGGAATGAGTATTAAAAGACCGAGATGCAAATTTCATCCAGAGTAACTTTCCTAGCTTCCCAATAATCACAAGATTAAAAACAGCAGAAGAGAGGCAAGAAGGGCGATGCTTGGTCAGGGCCTGGGAGTGGGTAGGAAGGAATGCAAGTTACTGTTCACGAGGCATAGACAGCTTCAGTTTTGCAAGATCAAAGTACAGAAGTTTAGTTCACAATACTATTGATCTATACATATAAAAGTAGTTAAGATGGAAGCTTTTGCATCATGTTACATTGTCTCAAAGTAAAACAAAACAAAATAAAACCCAAAAAGTAGGGCTGGGCATGTAGCTCAATTGTTACAATGATGGTCTAGTTATGTGCAAGGTCCCCCCAGCACCACATAAAGTGGGCATGGTAGTACACTCCTGTAATTCTAGCACTTGGAAGGTGGAAGAAAGTGACTCAGAAGTTTAAAGTTCTTTTTTGGCTACATAGTGGGTTTGAGACCAGTCTGGGCTACATTAGGCCCTATAAGAAAGAAAGGAAGAAAGGAATTAAGGAAAGAAGGAAGGAGAGAGAGAGAAAGAAAAGGAGGGAGGGAAGGCGGGAGGGGGTGGGGGGAG